GTCCGGAAACAGAAATGTAAAGTAGAAAATATTTGCTTTATCGTATATATGGAAGGTTGCGGTTAAGTTTTTTTTTAAGTACTTCATCCCAAGCAAGGCGGGAATGCTACTAGTACGCAAGGTGTTACAGGGAGGTAATGTGAGAGAAAAGCCTGAGTATAAGGAGGATTGAGGAACGGACAAAAGATGAACGGGATTCAGTAAGATAGAAGATGGCGATTGACGTTGCATTTCAATTTCTGAAGATTGATTTTATCACGGAAGCAAATTAACGGAAGTGATTTCCACACTCGGAAATTGCGAGAAAAGATACTTTTGGTATAGATGTAGCGGTTAAATTTAAATATTTCAGCAGTAAACGGCTGGGGCATAGATACGAATCTAGTAGCACGCTTAAATTCATGTAGTCAGGGCACCAGGGAAAAAAAGGCTCATTAAAGCAGTTGTTGTAAAAATGTTTGTAGAAAAAAAACAGAAGGAAGCCACGTCACTTCGGTGAGAAAGTAACAAGTTGAGATGCCAAGTAAGGATCGATTAAATTAAAGGCCTTTTTTTTGGATTTTATCAAGAACCTCGAGATGAATAGCAGGAGCATTAAACCAGATATGCCAGCAGTATTAAATGCACGGACAAAAGATAGATTTGTTAATATGCAAAATGGACTCCGACGAGAAAAATTTTCTGGTGCGACACAGTGATCCAAATTTCCTTGCAGCAGATGCACCTATTGATTCGATGTTGTCGCTCCATTTCAAGTCAGTTGTAAACGCCTGGTCAAAACAGCGCAGTGTGTTGCTCTGAGATAAAGTACATTCTCGATTATCCGTACCTTGATTTACCGGAATGAAACTATCCTGACAGGAAATAAAAGACAAATTGAAATGATCCGAACATTTTCAATTATCCAAACTAAACCCATTCTCATATGTTATTGTATGAAGATAAGTAAAAGCAAATCATTTTAAGGATTTAGAAAACCGTATTCAACGTTCTATAAAAACACTGATAAAATCTGTTAAATTATTGTTTCTTAATTTCCTCGTTCTTTTCATACAAAGGTTCTACAATTGATTCATCACAGCTTGATCAGGCTTGTGATTATGGCTTATGAAGCTCTCAGATTCGCGGGACTCACGTGAACCATGGTTTCCGAGTTGAATGGAAAGTAAAATGGAACGTCCAAGACATAGCTCAAATTGAACACATCACCAAAAATAACAGGAAAATGATGATGTCCATGTTTAAGTTCAACTGCTCCAATGCCAAATTTCATTCACCGAAAAAATGTTTATGTTTGAAAAATTCTTAAGTTGCATGCGCTTTCAAGTAGAACCTAGCTAATCTTACAGTTTTTTCGGAATCTATCTACAGAAAACGCGAGGTTAGCCGAAAACTGACAAACGTTGACGCAATTATTTTCATAAAAAAATAGATAAAAACTTGATCAAGGAGTTTGAAAATGTTATCTGACGATACAATATTCTTGCAGAAAATGTCTTTTTTCTCCATTCTTTCTCGATATTTAAGTATTCATTTATCCGGAATTAAGAAGTATCTGATTAATTTTTGACCCCCTTTCCTAAGAATGTCTGGACAATAGAGTAAATACTATAGTCATTTAAACTAATATTTAGCAGAAGCCATAAATATTCCTACTTTACATAAATCATGCACACATTGCACTATTTAAAGAATGAAGTTCCTTTGTCTTAGAGCAATAATTAGAATGCTACTCCCGCTAACCTTTCCTTGAGAGTCCGACACTCACTAAGAACTCAATTAATATTGTTTCCACTCAGAGCTTACAAAGTCTGAAACCGATCAACCTGAAGCGTAATATCTATCATATAGACAGTAATTTGTAATTTCTAGTGAAATATTGATTTCCAAATCTATTTTCTTAAGATATTAGCACATTGGTTATTAACCTGAAACATCTTGTAGATAGTTGACATGTTTGGAAGAACAATTTCAATCAGTGATACATAGAAAGGAAACCATAAGGTTAGACAGAGATTAAGGTCATTATTGTTATTTTATAAACGATAGAGGTTTTCAGTAGTAGTTAAAGGTTAAACGATCTATTATTAATGTCACATCGACATTGTCCTGGCGTTCATCTATTTTCTTTATATTTTTATCTTTTGTTCATACAGTGTGCAGTCTTCTTTCTCTATTCCCGACACGAAACTGTAAATCTCTTAAAAAGCAGAGAAAGAGGCGACTGATCGATTTTCACAAAACGAAGTTCCCTATGTGTGCATAAGGTTTGACATTATATCTTCCCGATAGGTGGGACACCTCGACGTGGTGTAATGGTTAGACTGTTTTTCTTGCTAGATCGATTACGACTGAGTAGTGAGTTCGATCCTCACTGGGCGCCCCATACTTTTGGCTTTGTGCCACATCTAATCCGGGCTTGGAAAATCGCTATATATTCCTGATAGGTGAAGTTCAGAATAACGCCAACTTTGTTGAGAAAATGTAACAATGTACTGAAATTCAGGTGGCCTGGCTCGTACAGTTAATACATTTTATTTTCCTTTCTTCACTGTGTGTGTTTATAACTCTGTGTGTGTGTGTGTGTGTGTGTGTGTATATATATATATATATATATATATATATATATATGTGTGTGTGTGTGTATATATATATATGTGTGTGTATATATATATATATATATATATATATATATATATATATATATATATATATATATATATATATACAGTATAAGTGGTGTTTCTTTGGCAAGACAGCCTGACGGAGACTAACATGTTCCAGGTCAGTTTTAAACTTAGAGTTTTTACATTTCCTTGCCACCCAAGGTTATAGAACCTAATTTGTCCTACTATTTTACCTATAGTTTTTAGAAGAAGAGAATTCATACATTTCCTAAGGTATTAACACGTAAGTAGATGTAATAGATCCGACTAGAATTCGAACTCGGCTCTCCGATTACTCAATCCGAGCCGCTATCATTACTATATAAAAAACATTGACTGAAATATAAAAAAAATATAAGAAAATAATATAAAAAAAAATACTAAATATTATTACGCTTCCTCTTTTGCATGTGTATGTGTGTTTATATATATATATATATATATATATATATATATATATATATATATATATATATATATATATATATATAGTCATCCACAGACTGACTGTTTCGGGGTATCACAGCTCTTCCGTGTAGCTAGACGTTCGATTGCTTCAAGCAGGGATCGAAACCCGACCAGAGATCCTACACCGAGACTATGGTGGCACAGAAGAGAAAAAGGGAAATTTTAAGTTATCTATATGAAATACGCCTCTGGCCCGGAGAGCTCAGTTCAGTTAAAGAGCAATGCATTAAAACCAGTAGCAGCCACTGTTTTTAAAATTACCCTTTTCTCAAGAGAGCTCAACCGGATTTCCCGGGAGAATATATTGTTATCAACAGACAGACTGTTTCACTGTATCACAGCACTAATCGCCTTTTTATGACGAGTTATTCCAAATATTGTTTTTCGATTTCTTAGTTATTCTCTTCATAAATTGCATTACGGCCACATGGTATTGAAACACGGAAGTTAAGGAACGCTGAATCTGGTCAACACCAAGGTGGCTAACTTCTGGGAATACCAGGTGCTGTAAACTTCGGTGTATATGGTGTGTTGGAATTGTTATTCGAATAGCTGAGTTCCAATACCATTTGGGTACGTTATATTCATTTCCGCGAAAATACTCTTGGGAAAAGTATGAATCCAATCCTTATCCGCTCATCTATGTGTTAATTAGTCACTCTTGTATCATTAAACCATTATTATCAAAAAGAAAAAAAATGCGCACAAATTATTTAGATTTTGGCATTAAATAACCCATAGAGGTTTTGGTACGCCGATAAACAAAAACAACCAGCCAACGAATCTTAACGAGTTTAGTTGTTCGGCTCCGTGATAAAAATGGGAGACAGTTCAAAAAAAGGTGTCGCGATTTTATAATTCTACGTTGTCTTTATACTGGTTTTTCACGTGATTCTACTCCCGTAATTGAATTCCTGATATAGGGTAGGGATATATTTGATTCGAAGTAGCTAAGTGGTTTAGGCTACTGTAACCGAGTAGAACAATCTAGAAGGTAGCAGTCATGGGACTGGTACTCGTCGTAGTCGCAGTCAATTGGTGTAAACAATAGGTGTACACCAATATGATAGCCAATGGCGTAGTTCAATGGGCGTTCTGCTGTACCTCTACATTAGCCTGTCAATATGGCTGACATCAGCCAATCATATTCCTGTGAGGGGAAACACAGGTGTATGCATATTCATTACATCAATTCCAATATTTAGTTCGTTTGAATTACATTCATATTATCAACCATTGATCCATGTTCTAACAGTTTATCCTATTCTTGAATGCATAGAGACTGAGATTCAGCTATAAAACAATTACCGATAGATCACCGGTTTTACGACAACCCCTTTTAATTAGAAATAAATTATAATCAAGTATTTGAATATGACGCGATTGCCAATTTCAATAATTAAATATCTGATAGAGTCGTTTTCAAAGACATGTCAACCTTTGCTGATTATTTAGAGCCAGGAATCATTTTTAGATTGCAAGATTGGTTGGAGGCAAGATAATAATGATTTAATAATACAGGTCTTACTAATTAACCCATAGCTAGGAGTAGAAGAGGTGGAGTCATAACTTTCCCAAGGGTATTTGCGTATAAGGGAATATAACCCTACGACTTATCAAATGCAGATTATTTAAAGCCAGGAAATATTTTTAAATTGTAAGAATTGTTTAAGCTAATAATAATTTAGTGATACAAGTTTTACTAATTAAACCAAAACTTAAGGGAAAAAGAGTTGGATTTATACCTTTTTCCAAGGCCATTTGCCCGTAAGTGAATATAACGAACCCAACTGGAATTGGAACTCGACTCTTCGATTAGTAATTCTTAGCCATTATTGATTTCACCACCGTTATATCAAAGCTTAGAGCACCTGGTATTCCCAAGTGGTCACTCATCTAAGTACTAAGCAGGATCGATGTTGCTTAACTTCGGTGAATCTACGGGAACAGGTTTTTCAACCAGTTAAATTCACACTTAATTTATATTTACTAATAATTCAATATAAGTTTCTAACACTTAATGACGTTGAAGAGATGCGAAGAATGTATAGTTATTTTGTCAAAGGGGTTCTTTTGTCTGCTGATTTGGTAAAACGGATAATCCGGCATTATTCACAAATAAAGTGTCCCGGAAAATCTGTGTTGTATATGTGTTACTGTGTTTTCCTGCAAAACTCTTTTAAAGGATAATAATATATATATATATATATATATATATATATATATATATATATATATATATATATATATATATATATATATAAATCCTTGTAGTAACATTGAAACCTGCTTTGGCAGATTGTGTAAAGAGAAAAAATGAAGAGATTACATGCCGCATAGAATGAAATTGATATTGAACATGGTAAAAAATTAGACACATAATACTGTTGAAAGAATCAGGGGTAATACTAAACTAATATAATCCAATTAGTAGACCAAGCGTAGCCATAAGCACCATAACTGCAACATACTTGGTGTTTAGTTTAAATAAATAAATGTACGAGTGTCTTACGTGCCATAAATGAGTTGTTAAAAATGTTACGTGGATAAATGAGTTGTTAAAACTAATATTATTCTCTCGAAATCATGAGTTTAATCACGCACTGCAGGTATATTTCGTAGATCAGCAGATGGTTAGATCATTATCATTGGAAGGAATTGATGAGTTCTTAAAATCCCTAAGGAGGGCGTGGAATTAAGTAGTAAAGAAATGAGAAGTGCCCACTACAACGAACCAGGATTAAATTATCCTTCAACCTTACAGGTATGTTAAGATTCTTGAAGGACTGTTGAGTTTACGCTGACCGAAATGTGAGAAGAACAATGTATTTCGACGCATATGCACATATACATACACATACTCATATATAAACACACACGCGAAAACAAACACCTACAGAAACAAACAAAAATCAACACTCACCAATAAATATTGCATGAATTAATATTTAATTTAATATAAAAATAACGGAAATAGAAAATCCTCAGTCAATTGCCGATGAAATAGAGTTTTAAGGTATGCTATATTCATGGGTTAAAGTGCTCAATATTGAGGATAGAGCATATCTAAGCATAAAAGGGAGCATTGGCATCAAAACCCAGAAGCAACAGTCTGTGGAAAAGGAATTGTCAGCATGAAGCATACTTCAGTGTTGACTTCAATGACCACTTTTACACACACTTACACACACACACACACACACACACACACACACACATATATCTATATATATATTATAATAAAGGGAAAGTAAGATATATAATCTGATGTTCTAATTAATATTTTATTATTTCTATATATATATATATATATATATATATATATATATATATATATATATATATATATATATATATATATATTATATGCGGTACCTATTAGAAAGCGCTCAATATCAGAGATAGAGCTAATATATATATATATATATATATATATATATATATATATATATATATATATATATACACACACATATATATAAATATCAGAGATAGATCTAACACACACACACACACACTCACACAAACACGCACACACACACACACACACACACACACATATATATATATAGTTATAAAACAGTGAGTGGTCAGAGTTGAATTAGACCAGTTTTTGTCTATATTTCTGAGATGGGATGTTATGTATATTATTTACATTATTCGGACTACACTCCTCATTTTTGTCGGTATATTTATTACAACGTTTCAGTTCGACATTTCAACCACCTGAAGATTTTCGGAGCGTACAACGGCCGAAACGTTGTAATAAATATGGCGACAAAGATGAGGACAATAGTCCGAATAATGTAAATAATGCAGGAAACAGTTGTAATAAAAAAAAGTGCTCAATACGCGTATAAAAAAAATACAGGCAGTGCTTTTTAAATTGGCTGATTTTTCGAATTTTTTAAATATATATATATATATATATATATATATATATATATATATATATATATACACACACACACACATATATATATATATATATATATATATAAGTTCTGTCCGAATTTTACCTATTTTTAAAATGAACGAAATTTACAAAGTATTTTATAATGTCTAATGTCGACGAACATTATTTTTATGTTTAGATGCATTTAAACTGATCAAATTTTATTTCAGAGAACAATAAAATTAAATTTTGTTTGATTAAAACCCTGCTAACATGGAAGTACCCAAGAATCATTTGAGGCACATAATGCTTTATGAGTTCAAGAAATGAAAGTCAGCAGCCGAAGCGGCTAGAAACATTCACTCAGTTTATGGAGAAGAATGTGTGAATGAAAGAACTTGCAGAAGATGGTTTGCAAAATTCAGAGGTGGCGATTTCACGCTTGAAGTTGAAGATCGAACCGGACGTCCAGTTGAGTTTGATGAAAAGCTTCTTGAAGCAGCCCTTGAAGAAAATCCTGCTTTATCAGTTGAGGAATTGGCAGTGGTTCTCAATTCAAACCATACAACTGTTCATCGTCATCTTCAACAACTTGGAAAAGTTCTTAACCTTCGAAAATGGGTACCTCATGAATTGTCTGAAAACAACCTCAAATCCCGAGTTGACATCTGCTCTACTCTCCATTCTCGCCAACTTGTTTCACCTTTTTTGGATAGACTTGTGACTGGCGAGGAAAAATGGTTCTTTTACCGAAATGTTAAGCGTCGTAGACAGTGGCTTGGTAAAGGGGAAGGACCCCAGTCACAGCCGAAAAGGGAACTTCATGGGCAAAAGGTTCTTCTTTCAATCTGGTGGGATCGCCACTTTGAATTCTTACCACCTAATGCAAGAATTAATACTCAAATATACTGTCAGCAATTAGAGCGTTTGAACCAAGCTTTGAGGAAAATAAGACCTGCTCTAGTGAATCGAAAAGAGGTGATGTTTCATCACGACAATGCGCGACCCCACCCAGCAAGAATCACGTCACAAAAGATCGAAGAACTTGGTTGAGAGAAAATTCCTCATCCACCTTATTCTCCCGATCTTGCCCTTTCAGACTACCATTTGTTTCGTAGCTTACAGAATCATTTAGAAGAAACAGCTTTTGTAACACAGGAAGAGGTTAAAACTGACATTTGGGAGTTCTTCGAATCAAAGCCAAAAGAATTTTACAGTAATGGAATTGGTAAGCTTGTTAATAGATGGAAGGAAGTCATAGATAATCAGGGAAAATACATTGTTGATTAAATCTGTACTTAAATGTAACATTTGGTCACTTGTTTTCCTTATTCAAAATTCGGACAGAACTTATGGGATGACCTGTTATATATATATATATATATATATATATTACTATAAGCCTTATTTTAATGGGTGTACTTGATTCAATTAGTATCAGTTGTGTTTACTATTTTCTTAAATGGTGAAACTAATAACAACAAACCTAAATAAAAAAAAGTCCCACTCCTTATTACTCAAAATATCCTCGTTAACCATGAACACACGCCCATTAACCTCGCTGGTTTTTATCTGTTTGGAGATAAAGTATCATTATTATTATATTTATTATAGTTTTATTTTTTTTTGTTTCTCGTGTATACTAATTTCTTACTGGGTCCCGACCAGAGATCTAAGGTCAGAAAAGGCATAATGGCATTTTCCACAAAGCAGTTTAAAAATCTCACATATATTTACATAGATAAAGCCCTTTTTAAGATGTGGTCATTATTTGTGAGTGCACTTATTTGTATTTCTTCGAGACATGGGCTACCAGGGATTCCTTCAACAAGTCTATTGGAAAGTTTTCCAATCAACCCGAGGGCTCCAACTACAATTGTCTTCATGCGCCACATTTCTGAGATTTCGATTTCAAGGTCGTTGTATTTTGATAGTTTTCCGAAGATCTTCAAAGATACATTGCAGTCTGCAGGGACTGTCATGTCAACAAGGAGGTACATTTTGGCTTTGGCGTCTCTAATGAAGAACCGAAAAAAGAAAAAAAAATATTGCGTAGATGGCGAGAAGATCTGAATAACGTTTCTTTGAGGATATAATTTCTTTCAGTAGATAATAGATATCGGCAGTCCATTGTTTTGGGATTAATTTGGTATAGTTATTTTGGAGGTTTCTTCAACGCCAGTCCACGAGTTTTGTGCAAGGTCCTCGCTAAGACCTACATGCTTCATTCGCTCGAAAAGATTTTAAGCCATTGATCTTAGAACGTGGTTCTATAGAGCTGGTAGTTCAGATATTTTCCAATCTGTTTGGTGCCATACATGATAAACATAACAAAGTTTCCGTCTGATGCATAATATTTATAATAAAACCTGCGGGCATTTTATCTCTAACGAGTATAAAGTCATATCTCGTTTGAAGAGACTACCACCACCACCACCACCTCCACTACCACCACCACTACTATTACTACAACTAATAATAATAATGATAAATTTTGATGGGACTGCAGGAGTATACAGGAGAATTTATTCCACCTGATCTCAAGATAGGAAGTACGCAGACATAGCCTTCCAGATATTCCATTTCGCCTTGATTTGGCTTGTTTTGTTTTACAGTATATCAACCTCAATGCGTTATTTAATGCCGACGAGATTTTTATTGCTGGAAATATTTTTTTCCGAAAAATATTTCTGGTAATATTTTTCCCAAAAATGTATTGCTGGTAATATTTTTTCCTTAAAAAATGCATTGCTGGTAATATTTTTTCAAAATGTATTGTTGGTAATATTTTTTTTCAAAAATGTATTGCTGGTAATTTTTTTTTTCAAAAATGTCTTACTGGTAATAATGTATTCTTCAAAAATTCATTACTGTTAATACTTTTTACAAAAACCTATTTTTACACTTTCATAATGTTTTGATAGTTAAATAGTTAAGCCCCAGTTTGGAGGTTAACTATTTTCCCATAGCTGGGATCTTAACAGGTACTACCACCCCGGGTCAGTGTGGATCTGAGAACACCAGCAATTAAGTGTTGGTTTACGCTCCTCAAAACCTCCTGATC